TAGTTTTGGATTGTCCAGGAAAGATTTGCAATAATTAAAACATTTGCTTTAAAAAACAAATGAACCACAAATAACCATGCAAGTTTTTCAGATGAGTTGTGTTGTGCTTGGATGTTATTTCTGGTAACAGGGATTGTGGATCAGGACTTGTAAATTCTACTTGGCCATTTGTCTTTATTGTGTCATTTTCAGAATTGGGCACTACTTTTATTCATTTTATAACTAGGTTTGGGCCAGGTTTGAAGTTCTGTGCCTCACTAAAACATGTTTGTGAAAATGCTAAAATTACTGAATGTAGAGGTTCACTTAAAACTAATGACTGGTGCTCGGAATGACTGCTTATATTATCTGTTAAGGAATTATTTTGATAGTAAGAGAAAATGCTTTTTTTCCCTCACAGTTAACAAAAGATTAGCTGGATTATCAGTCTGAATCTTAACTGTCAGTATATCAGGCTTTTATTTGTTGTTTTACTTTTGGGTTTGTGCCTCTTGTGTGTACTGTTGGTAATAAGTACTTTTATCTCCAGAAAATACTGGCCTCCTAGTGCCAGCATCACATACTTTAAACCATCCCAAATAGTACTGATTAATGTACTGATTGGGGTAATCTCATATTTAAAGTCTTGCAAAGTGAATAGATTGCAGTTGAACTTTCAATTATATATTTAATTTTATAATCCAGCCATATAATATATGCTATATAATGTAAACCTGTTTTGTTTTTTTTTTTAACTTGGTTCCTTGGGTCATAGATCTGGAAGAGGTGTATTAATATTTGTGTGTTACATGTGTTCTTAATTTGAACAGCATCTTTTATTTTGTTTCTCTAAGGAAATAATAAAATATTATATAGAACAAAGAAATGCTGAGGACAAATGGAAGAAACCACCACTGCTGGAGAGACTGAAGGTATGGGATAACCTATTAGGGAAAACCTAATATTTTTAGCACTGTAGCAGTAAAAGAGCACAGACACAGAGGATAAGAGTGATTGGTGTAGCCTGTCAAAGAAGTTACTTTACATGGAAAGAACCTATGTGAGGAGCAGTGAAAAGAAAGGAAGAGGGAAGTATGGAAAAATGAGAAAACAAATGAAAGAGAGGAAAAACAAAATGAGGTCTGAGAGGGGTATATCTGAACTTTAAATCAAAGACTGAACCTACAATTTCAGAATAGCTATTGAAAAAAGCATCATATAGATTGGACAGTAGGGTAGGCAGGAGTGAAGAAAATGTGTTGCAAACCAGAATTAAATTTTTTTTATGACCTATTGCTGATGTTTTTTCTATTGATTCTTGTGATAGGAATTGGCCAAAGCAGAAGGTCTGTGGAACCTTTTCCTCCCAGATGTCAGTGGTCTCAGCCAGCTTGACTATGCCCTAATAGCTGAGGAGACAGGGAGATGCCTTATTGCTCCTGAGGTTTTCAACTGTCATGCACCAGGTTAGCAACCCTGGTTTAGTCCCAAAACTATGGCACTGGAGTATTAAAAAGTTGGGTGTCTTACACCTTACAGGCTGTGTGTCTCAAGCAGTAAGCATGCCTGCTGATTTCTTACAGACACAGGAAACATGGAGGTCCTCCACATGTATGGCAGTGAAGAGCAAAAGAAAGAGTGGCTGGAGCCTCTCCTGGAAGGGAAGATTAGTTCTTGCTTCTGCATGACAGGTAAATTTTTCTCCAGAAGAAAGTTAGAGCCAATTGGTTGAAACTTCATGTGGTGTATGCAGAGAAAATAGAAAACTGCAGGTTGTGTGTTACAGTGGATATTTCTGTACTAATTCAGTATCAGTGAATGTCTTTGAATATAAAATCATCTATGAGGTGTGAATACAAACTGGAGCAGCCTTGCTGCCTTTCCTGGTAGTTGCCAATTTTCATGGTTACAATAATTAGTATTTGCTTTCTATATGTTTTTAGTTTAATTTTTGTACTAGTAAAATACAATTTTTAGTACCAAGCAGGTTTACAATAGAGCTTACCCTTCCTTGCAGTGTGGTGTGGAGCTCTCTAGATACGCACAATTGGGTCCAAGTATGATTATTGTGAGTAAAGTTGTGTGGTTTTGCAGTCTCATAGATTTTTTTTTTTTAAGATATAACTTGCTTTATGTCTATATCTCAGCATTGTATTTAGTTTTGCTCCTGAAAGCTTGTGGCATTCAGCATCTCTGGAAGGTAGCTTTTGGAACATGTGATGTCAAAATCTTGATCCTCCTGGGTCAGATGGAATCGAGAGAACTCGGACTTGCAGACACTTACTTTGCAAATTCTGTTTCACTGTGTTTCCCAAAAGGAGATAGATACTTTTTTTTAAAAGTAGATGGCCTATAAAAAGAAGTAATGGTGAAAAGAGAGAAAGAGTCTTTCTTGCTCCAAAAAATCTTTGATCACATTTTATTGACAATCTCATGTAGTGTATTTCATAAACAACCACAAAATTATTTTCAATTTCTGTTTTCTCTTGGGAAGAACCCACGAGGAGAAAACAGGCTGAGGAGAAATATGACTGTTACCTGTAAGTACAATGGAAGGATAAAGGATTTAAAAAGAGATGGAAAGGAAGACGGCTGATTGCAAAGGGTGGTTCAAGCCCAAGAACAAGTACATTTGAACTGGCTGTGAATAACAGATTGTTGGAAAACAGGAAGTCTCTTGGTCACCAGCAGTGAGGGTCTTCAAAGAGTTTTTCTACTGGTAGCAAAACAGTGTACTTTTAATAGAGTATATCTAGAGCCCTATATTTGTGGAGCTTGTATTACCTTTATATTTAATCTGGTGGTTTGTTTCTTTCCTTTGGCCCAGAACCTGATGTGGCTTCAAGTGATGCCACCAATATGCAATGCACCATTGAGAGAGATGGGAACAGCTACGTGATCAATGGCAAGAAGTGGTGGAGCAGTGGTAAGTGTGGAAACCTAAATAAGAATGGCTAAGGTAGAATTTTTTCCAAGAACTATTAAAACAAAAGTTATTGTGCTCCATTTCTGAGATGAAAATTTCTCTTCTCTTGAGTAAAGGCAATAGAATGTAAAGCAGCAGAAGGAGCTGAATTGAGCTTTTGTTCTGTGAACCAAAGTCCAAGATTCAAATCCAGTTTGGGGATTTGGGCCCTTTTTGGAACCTCTGAATTTTGTTCACAAAATTTTTTTGCTATTTTCTTTAAACATTACCTCTTTCTATCAGTCAAATTACGCATTTATGGCTTTGTTTTTGTGAAGCTGTCTTTGGCAGTGTGTGTGAGAGGTTTGAGAGTACTGCATATCTACAGTAAAATGTGGCTGCTTTTAAAGTAGCCTGTGATGTTGTTGGACTGACTGTTAAAGGAGATTTCCTTATGTTATAATTCCCAGTAAAATCAATGCATTGTACTGTAAGTGGCAACTGTCCCTGATATTGTAGTACTGTTATTTTTTTGCCAAAATATGTGATAGCAACTTGATAGTCATCACTCCCTGGGAGTTTGGAATCCAAACTGTTATATATGAGTTGTTAAACTTGAATGTTTCATTTATGTACACGATTATGACAGCTAGCTGCTGATACATGCTTGTGCAATACTTGGAGTCACCAGAAGATAGATCTCTCTCTCTGTTCTACTCCTGTAAAGCTGGCAGCAAAAAGAGGCATGGAATCTTTTCTCCTGACCCAAGAGTGTTGCTTAACTGCTGGCTTTTTAGCCTTTGCTCTGGGTCAGTGTCTCCCAGCTGTGCATTGCAGTCCCTGAGGAAGTAATGAGAAAGTTTTAGGGGGTCACACACACAAAACAATATTCATAAAATTAGTTATGTGAATTATAAAAAGGAGAGTAAGCATAAGACAGCATGATTTGGTTTGTCTTATTTCTAATAAATACAATGAGGGCAATCAAATTTGCATAAAGACAGATGCATAAGAGGCACAGCAATTCCAAGAAGTTTGAGAAACGTGTTCATTTGGCTCTGTATTAGTCTCTCTTTCTGCCTGGCTAGGGGGGTGGGGGGTTTTGTGGTTTTTGGTGGGTTTTTTGTTTGTTTGGGGGTTTGTTTTTTGTTTTGGTTTGGTTTTTTTTTTTGGGTTTTTTTTTGGTTTTTTTTGTTTTTTTTTTTTTTTTTTTTTTTTTTTTTTTTTGTTTGGTTTTTTTTTTTTGGTTTTTTTTTGGTTTTTTTTGTTTTTTTTTTTTTTTTTTTATTCTGTTTGTTGTTGGTTTTGGTTGGGTTTTTTAACTTTTGGGACATTAAAATCTTGGATGTGTGGGAATTCCAGAAGCCTGGCAGCCTTGTCAGTATGCCACTCTGTATTTGTGTCATAAATCACACATGCAAGGAGTCAGTTACTTCATGGAAGAAGTGGGGTTTCCTATTATGCTCTGTATGTGTACAATAAATCCAGTGTGGCTTAAATAGGTCAGATTTATGGTGTACATGTAGAAAACCAGTCAGGCACTTCTGACTTATCTGTTCACGCCCTAGTATTTCTCAAAACATTCTGGGCAAACATTCTGTAAGCTTTTGTCATCCAAACAGGGAGAAGAGGCTCATGTCTTGTTTATGCTACTGTTGTTTCTTGTCTGTCATTTTAGAGCTTTTTGTTCCAGTCCCTAATTGTGTAACTAGGAACAGTATCTAAAAATGAGAGATTCTTTTTGGCTTTCCTAATCTGTAGATGAGACATTTTGTCAGAGCCCACAGGATGTTTGAAGACAAGGACAGAATGCTGTAACACCACTTCTTCATTTTGAAAGCTAAGCTAGCATGTCAGTACGTTTGAAATGCTTCCAGTGACTCATGGAAAAACTGCTGAATCCCTGCCAGCACTGTGGCAGGGGATGGCCTTGGTACCTCTCGGTGTAAAAACTGTGTGAATCCATGAGCTCCATATAGAATGGGAACCTCTTTTGTCAAGCAATGCCTCTCCCATTTGCTGGTTGGTAAATGCCTATGATGAGAGATGTCAGTACCTGCTAAAACAAAACAAAAACAAAGATAAGAAAAAACAAAAGCCAGTGCACTTTTTCTATTCTTTGATTTTATTGTATCTCCATATACTTTAGCAGATACAGTTATTGCAGTGCTTGATTAATTTTAACAAGTCTAAATAAAAAATCCAGACCTTGTATCTTAAGATTACATGAACTTTTTATTACATTTATAAAAATCTAGAGTATGCCAGCCACCCTTTGAGCACTGGTCTTGTTGAAGTTTAGGTTGAGCAGAAAAGAAGAGATGAAAGGTCATTTTTTCTGTAGTTATAGAAAAGGAGTTACTGGGGTACTTTTGTGGAGAATGTTGTTGCTGCTATACCTTTGTAGAAACACATAGAGAATGGCTTTTCCCCTCTCTTTCTCCCTCTTGGTTCTCAGCCATAAGCTTATACTTAATTTCAAGCTGCAAGGTTATCTATGGAATGATAGCTGAGTTGAGAAATGGAGCTGAACTGTTAGGCAAATGTTCTAAAGTTTTATAAAATAGTTGAAGAAAGACAAGATTATTAACTTCTGGTACAAAGGTTCCTGTTGTTTTATTGGTGATTTTTTTTCTCTGTTTTAATTGCATGCTTAGATGTGTACTAGTTGTTCATTACACAGTTACTTAATTGCCTAGTACTATGACACTTAGAAATTTAAATCTTGAGGGTTTTTAGGTTTTTGGTTTTTATTGTGGTGCTCTTTTTTTTGTTTGAGTTTTTTAATGTTGTTGTTTAGTAAATATCTCAGGTTGTTTCTAGGGGTTTCAGTATTTAGTTCTTGCTTGATTCCTGTTCAGTTCCTGCTTGATTCTGATAAACACGTTCCACTTTGAAGTGCTTTGTGGTATCTTGGCAGGTTCAGAAATTCATCTGAAAGCTGACTTGCAGAGAAACAGCTGCGGAAGCAATACCCCCTGGAATTAATTAACCTTGGTTATGTAAGATGATGGAAGGAACAGAGGGCCTATATAGTGAAACTGATTGTTTCTTCAGTAGGGTCTTCATAATTCATAGAAATTTCTTCAGGTCTTCCATTCTGCTGCTGTCTTCTCCAGTACCCATAATTTTTTGCAATTTTCATGATGTGCATTTTGAAAGAGGCGCCCAGGAAGGCGTAGAGGAGAGGGTTGAGGCAGGCATGGAACAAAGCAATGCTCTTGGTGACCTGGAGTGCCACGTCCATGGTTTTACTGGTGTGACAGTCTGTAACCAACATGTAGATGATGTCTAAGGCTCGCCACAGCTTCACGATGTTGTAGGGTAGCTGGGTGACAATGAAAGTAGCCACTACTGCCAGCAGAACCTTGAAAGGCCTGGACTTCTTAACATTTGCAGACCTAAAGATGGCCCGAGCAGTAGCGGAATAGCAGATCAGCATTACTAGGAAAGGAAGCAGAAATTCCAGGATAATTTCCAGGATTTGAATGGTTGATTTTAAGAGTGTTTCCATGTTCATTGGAAATATGGGAAGGCATTCGTTCCTCTCATTGTGTTTCTTGACTTGATTAAATATCAGCTCTGGGATACTGAGGAAAGTGGCAGCCAGCCAGACACAGATGCAGGTAACACTGCAGTGTTTGCCTACTCTTCTCCGGCCCTGGGATTCAGAAGTGGCCCTGTACCTATCCACACTGATACAGGCCAGGAACAGCATGCTGGAGCTGAAATTCATGGTGTACAGAGAAGAAGTGAGCTTGCACATTGGGTTTCCAAGTTCCCATCCCTGCACTGCATTTGCAGCCCAAAAAGGGAGGGTGAAAAGCAGGAGCAGATCAGCAATGGCGAGGTGCATGATATACACGTCTGTCTTGGTCTTGGGTTTCTTGCAGTAGGCGTAAATTGCAACCACTAATGAGTTTCCAGCCACTCCAACCGTGAAAGCCAGTGTATAGAACACTGGGAGGAATAATTTTCTGAAATTTCTCACGTCACTTTTTTCACAGAGAAGCTCATAGGTATTGTAATCTATAAGAGGGTTGAGATCATCCTCCTCATCCTCAATCCAGTAATCTGTTGAGTTATTCATATCTCAGGCTGTGGCAAAGCTACAAGACACAAAAAAGTGGGGAGAAGGGAACACCAAAGAAATAATATTGGGTGTGAGTTCTAAAATTTCTGTTGAAACCTAAAACCCTTCTTCAGGGCTGCTTATACCTCTCAAATTTAAGTAACTTGGATATTCAGAATACATTTGTGAATAACCAAAGTGAAGCTAGACAGTAACAGAGGCAGAGCAGACCATCTCAAGTTCTCACGTGAAATAGGGTAACTGAGGACATCAGTGTGGTCAATACATGTAAAATGGATTCAATTGAAATGCTTTCCTTACCCTTAGCATTTGAGATTATAAAATGCTTGGAATGCCCCTCAATGATTTCCACATTTGAGTCAAGGAGCCATCATTGCTTTAACTGCTCCAGCTGTGTTATGTTTCACAATATTCCATTGCACATAACTGTGTGTGCCTTTATGGGGTTCCCTCTCCAGCCTCTGCAAAGCAAAGGAATACCAGCTGAAGGCTGTAAATGCTGTTACAATCAGGTGTATAAGGAATACAAGCAGATTAGAGCTGAGGCAAGCAGCTGTCTCCTGTCATAAATTCTGACAAGTTTTGGATATGAGTATAGTACAAAGGAGAGGTTTTTGTTTGTTTCTCAGGTACACTGTACATGCCCATTACAAAAAGCACAGCAGGGGGTTCATTGCTGAACAGCAGCAGAACAAGCCTATTTAAGTCTCCATCCCATACAGCAAGCCATGCCCATGTGGAATTTCTTACAGGAGCGGATTGCTGTGGGTACACTGCGTGTTACAGCTGGAGCTTTTCAGGATGTTATGTCAGAAAGGAATTTTATCACATACAAACTACCCACAAGTACCCAAACAGCTCAGAAACTCTGTTGGTTTTTCAAGTATGAACTCATGACAGATTTACTCTGTAAACACTGAGGCTGGCTTCTCACTGCCAGTTTAGGGTTGAAGTTTGAGCATTTGTATTTTCAGATTGTGTCTTAAGCAAGTTTGTGTCCTGCATTATTTTCTTCTTTTCCTGTAACTGTGTTCATTGACTAATGTGCTGAAATTCTGTCTGTTGTAAAATAAGTTCTGCAGTACCCTGTTTCCTTGGAATAAATGGGATTAAGGTTTTTTACCAGGAGTAGCAAAAATCAGCTGAGAATGAAAAACATATCCCCCTTTTGTCATCATATGCAGTGTTCAGAATTTGAGGTCAATGTTGCTGAAAGCAGATTGTTATCTGATACTCTGCCCCAGAGCTACAGTTTGGCTTTTTCAAGCCTGAAAGGAAAATGCAAATACCATTTCTGTTTCTTAGACAATTATTTAAATGAAGTTTAAATGAATGTTTAAACTCCTAAAGTTTTTTTAATGTATGTCTACTAGGAAAATACAAGTTACTGATTGATCTCATAAGAGGGGATGCAGACCAATTAAATAGAGAGAAATAGAGAGTTTGATTTTTTTCAGTGATTCTCCTAGCCAATTTTTTTAAAGTGTATTAGTTTAAAATTAGCTATCTGGTTTGGCTCCATCTTTAATGACTTTGTTGTATTATTCTGTTAACATTTCAAAACACTTCCCATCAAACTTTAAAAAATGATTTTATTCCTTTTTAAGTCTTGCAATTTGTTCTTGCTTGTTGCCATGAGATGTGCAGAATGGAAAAGGAGAGTCACTCTACTTAATACTTTGGCAGAGGGATGTCTGTTCTATTCCTAACAAGCTGTGTTAGCAGGATTCTCCAGCAGCAGTAATCTTTTGCAGCTTTATAGTACTTTGAGGAGAGATTTAGTTATCAGCAGCAAAATAACCTTTTCTTATTAATTTTTTTAGTAGAAGAGAAACTGCAGCAAGAAGAGTTTAATCCACTTAGCTGAGATTTGAGGAAAATTAGAAGTTAAATGAAAAGATTTGGTTGTGGTCTTAAAACACTTAATACAGAACCCATCAAGGAACATTTAATCAAATTGTATCACTGACAAATTTACTTGAAAGCGAACCAGTAAACATTTCAGGGCAAACTTTAAAAGTCTGTGTATGACAAAGCAGTTTAGCTGTGCCTCTGTGCTCAGCTGCCTGATAAGCTTTTGCCTCCCCTGAGTTCATGACAGAAACAAAGTTATCTAAAATGCAACAGTTGACATTTCTCCCTTAAAAGCACAGTTGTGTTTTGGCTCACATTTGTCTTTCCTGGTAGTGCTGTTTCTCAGGCACACGAGCATGTGCCCATTGCAAACAGCCAAGCAGTCCTGTGGGAGTCAGGCACTGAAGAGTGGTGGAAAAGCTTAGTTTAGTCTCCATCCCACACAGGGAGCCATGCTCACGTGGAATTTCTTACAGAAGCAGATTGCTGTGGGTACACTGCATCTTCCAGCTGGAGCTTCTCAGAATGTTATGACAGAAAGGAATTTTATCACATACAAACTACCCACAAGTACCCGAACAGCTCAGAAGCTGCTAGTTTTTCAAATAGTTTTCTAGGAGGTATACTAATAAATATATTAGATCTGCAACTGCATGTTTTCTTGCAGAATTGTTTCAGCCTTCCAGTCAGATAGAAATTCAGTGTTTCTGTGTATTTAAACTTGATGTAGGATTGTATGAGTGATGGTGAATTAAGTTAATATCCCTAGTTTAAACAGACAGATTTTTTCCTCTGATAAATCAGGCAGTATTCTGTCCTGCTACTGAGCAAATCTAATTTTGATACTGGAAAGGAGACGTGCCTTAGTGAAATGACATATCTCTGTAAAGCAAACTTAACTAAGAGTAAATGTATGCAAAGAAGATATCATCCAATATAAAGAGCAGTAAGGATTAAAACAAAATTTACCTTTTGTCAGCAGATGAGTAGCAGGTACTGCAATTGAGATGTGCCTCAGTGAAGTGATCTCAATTGCTCTGACACACTGCATTTTGTCTTCAAACACCACACCCTCATGTGGAAGTCCGTTGCACTTTCATTTTGACTTGACAGTTTAAAAAAACCTTTTAAAAATTGTGCTTTCCTGGCAACTCTTCTTGTGTTGAACATGTACACTTCCTACATTCCTTCCTGTTCCAACAAACTGTGACTGCTCTTTGGAAGGTCAGGACACTCTTGCTGCTTCTCTTTGTTGTTTGTGGTTTTATTCCTGGAAGTCCAAATGTTTTATACATCATCAAGAGGCTTTTATCAAACAGCACATTAGAAGGTGAAAAGGATAGAAAGGAGGTGCATCCGGGGCTGAGTTACTGGCCCAGACACCAAAGGGAGTCACTCCTTTCTTTCCTCAGGGGCAATACTGTGCTTTTCATGGCTGACTGTATAAGGTTTAAATGGACCCTTACATCCCCTCCTTACATAACTTTTTAGGGGATACAATAGAAAGATGAGTTGCTTTTTGTGAGGTGGGGAAAGGGGTTCTTTCAGTGTGTGAAACCAGAAAATATGTGAAGGCAAGTGGCAAATTATCAACCAGAGTACAAGCAGATAGTCCTGCATCCTGGGGGAGAGCTCTGAGATTGAATGTTGCCAGTCAATCTCATAATCAAATTAGTGACCAGTTTAAATTATCCTGGATCAGATAACAATCTAATGAGCTTCAGTAAATGCAATATTTACTCTCAGCAACACAGAGAGATATTAAGGAGACCAGAGGTCAGATTTTTGGAGTTTTTTGACATGCTGGTGCACCTGCTATGATTGGATTAACCTTCTGTCTGTGCTTCAATTATTTTGAAATATGTGAAAGATGGGAAAGGAAAGAATGTAATGGGCAGATATTTTCCATATGCTATACTTTGTTACAGAATGACAAAGTAGAATGAGCTGGGAGAGGAATTGCAGCCTAGAGGAAGAGTGCCACAATATTTGTGCATTTTCTGCAATGCTTTCATCTTGAGTTATCACAGTACTTCAGTGGTGCTCTTCACAGTGGTGGATAAGATACTTGGGCTCCTTCCCAGCCATCTCCTCACAGGTCGTGTCATGGCTTCGAGGCCTGAGCTATATCTCTTTAAAACAAATTAAAATTTCAGTTCTGAATAGGCTTTGTCTCAATAGGGTCTCCAAGAAGATGGAATAATCAGGCTAGAGCTGAGAATGCTCCCAGGGAATTGTGTGTTGCCTTCAGAAATGCCCAAGAGGTTTTGTGGGCACGCTGTAGGAAGGCAGTTCATGTGAATCCTGCCTTGTTATTGCAGTTCCTCAGCTCCTTGTAACTTTTCAGGGGTGCAGGGAAGAAATAATATTGTCATGTGTGTATTTCAGTAGGGTAAAAAAATAAAAATTATTTAGTAAGTAAGAGTGAATACGAAACAGATCTTAAGTAAAAACACTTGTGGCTGTGTGAAAGCGGCATGATGGCAAGGAAAAAACTGAGCTGAGCAGCTGCAGTCACTGGCACCAGTGGAGCCCGTGAGCTCCAGCTGGGAATCACCAGCAGCCACATTCAGTGGCAGGACTGCAAAGCCCTTGCAGCTGCACAGCCTCAGCATTGCCTGTTTGCTTGCAGCTACAGCTGTAGTCTTTGTCCTCCATGAACCAGCTGCCTGCACTGTTATCTGGAGAAGACGAGATAAAACTGTGGAATACAACATGCTAGTGGATAGAAATTACTGTGGGCTCTTGGTGGGATGTGTCTGTGTGTGTCCCTTTTCTCCATCAGGAGACTCCCACATTCCAACAGTCAGTACCATGCTGCCATCCACATCCTTGTAGGACCAACATCCTAAGGGTGTTGGTCCTACAAGACCAGTTTCTTCTTGCAGGAGAGTCCAGAACTCTGGAAGAACAGGAAGCTGTCAGGTCTGTAAGCCACCACAGACCCCTGACCTTTAGCAGAGAGAAGTAACCTGCTGGGCTGAGGGGTGCAGCAGCCAATGTGGAAAAAATCATAGGTATTCAGGCACTAGTTCATCTGGCCTTAGTCATCTTAGACAGGAAATTGAAGACTGAACACTGAAAAATAAATAGATTGTAAGAATTAAAGTGCTGCTGGCTTCTGGAAACAGACTTTATAGCAGATTCCTCAAGTACAGGTGGTACTCAAAGGTTGTCACATTTAGTAGTCTCTCCACCAGAAAGAACCTGTGTAAGTTGATTGTGTGAAGATCAGTAAACTTAAGCATGTTATACCCCTGATAGCAAAGATTAGGCTTCTAATGGGATTGTGATCAACACTCTAAGCACATTTTACAATACTGTCTTTGCCTCACTATGTGAGTAAGTGCCATGAAGAGTTCAAAAGTGTAAGAAGCTGGTTAAACCAAAGATGTTTGCCAGTGTAGCAGCATTGTGGTCTAAAAGTTTTGGTTTGTGCAGTCATATACATGGAAAACTTTATTGAAAGCTCATCAATATGGAAATGTAGTTAAAACTGACCACCTGAAACATCTAGTGTTTATTCAATTGTGAGTCTTCTTGCAGAAGTACTTCTAACTCTTACTCACTCTCTGACTCTTCCCCTCCATCTTGCAGCAACATCTTTGAATTCTGTAAGTGATGTGAAAATGTCATTTACAAAAGAGATGTTTATTCCAGGCTGTTTGCATTCCATCCAAAAGCACTGGAATTTTTCAGAGTCTTGCATTAGACCAGAACTTTTTTCAGTCTTTTATAGGTCAAAGTGACATAAAATTTATTTTAGTTTTTCAGGACTTAAGACTCTAAGGAGTGGAAGGGCCAGGAATCTGCTGTCCTTTGCTGTGCTTAGATAGGAACAAGCACATATAAGACTGGAGTATTCATTTGCCTTCCAGAAATGTGTACAAATGATTTAGGACATCTAACCAGATGTCCAGCTCTCTGTGAACTTCTCATTAAGTTCAACATGAAAGCTTCTTCTGAGGTTTTGTGAGTTTTTGGGGTTTTTTTCATACAACATGGTTAAATTTGCCCTTTGTTTTGAAGCAGGGATGTGATTGAGGATTATTTACAAAACAGTTTTTCAGGAGTTTCCAGAAGGTCAAAACATCTTTTGTTGTAAACCTCACTTGAACACAGGTCTGTTTTAGAAAATAGCACTTGTGCAATTCTTTACCTTCCATGGATAAGGAGAAGAGTCAAATACCCCTTGTGCAGTGGTGACATTTCCCAGTGCAGGGTAGTACCCTGCAAAGCATATGTTGGGTCATTTGGGGCTGATCAGCTGCTTGTTGCAGTTGCCCAAATGAGCAAAGTGTTTGGGATCAAGTTTGGTTGGGGTTTTTTTCACCAAGTTGATTTATGCCCCTCCCCAAAGCTCTTCACTGGGGTTTTTTGCATTGTTGGCATTGTACAGCTCATGGGCCACTCTGTAAGCCCCCTCTGGAAACAAGGGCTGAATACCATATTGCAAAAGAGAAAAGTAAACATCTGGCAGTCTGGCCCTCCAAACAGGCAGTGTTTAGCACAACTGAGTAAATCTCTCTCCCACTTCCTGAGCCACTTCCTGGCTGTTTGTAGGAGGAAGTGGCTCAGCTCAAAGCCAGGTAGTTGTATTGTCCAGACCAGAGTCTCCCAAGCCTTGTGAGAACAGCTGCCAGAGAAGTCTGAAAGTTGTATTTGCTTCTAACCTCAGAACAAAGCCAAGCTGCTACAGATCAAGCCTTGAATTGAATCTCTACAAGGCTTGTCATCTGCACTAAAAAATTACTGATTGCTACACCCATTGGGTATTTTCCCTAGCTTTATTGTTTGTGGGAGGCTTTGATAGGAATGCGAGCATGCTTTGGTACTAAGAAACCTTTAAAGAAAAATACAGGAGGATTAAGGATCATAGAAATGTTTTAATCAATGGTAGAATCTTTTTCAGCACTAGTACATTAAAGTGCTTTCTTTATGCTACAAAGGCTTAATAAATATGTCCATAATAAGAAACATCTCAAATAATGTTATCAATGGCTTGAAATATTAGCAGGCGATTTTTCAGGTAACAATTTTCACTCAGATCTTTCTTCAAAGTGCAATTTAAAATAATTTGTGTAAAGGGGGAGAAATCCTGCATTCCAGAGAAATTATGCTGAAGTAGTAGCAAAGTTATCATGGTAACCCTTTGATAGCCTTATCTGCATAATTTGGTAACAATGTGGTTGGTGTTTCATTCCCACATAGACCCTCCAGTCTTTGTAGGTTGAAGAATTTTTAAAAGTTTTACTTTTGAAACGGCAGCATGCCACCTTGATAGATGTGCTGTTGTATCACATTTATTTGCTCAGCTGTAATGGAGACTGAAGTAATCAGATTCCATTTCAAGTACCTTCTTGTTCCCTTTTCATAGGAATAGGTGATGGACCTGGAGGGTTTGGATGTTTGGCTTTTCATGTTCCCCTTCCCACAAGTCAGCTCCCTTTTTTGCGTGTTGAGTACTAATATGTATTTTGTTTCAGTGTGATATTCAGAATATAAACACAGGGGTAGATTGCATTTCCTGCCTCACAAAAGGAAGGCAGTAGGGTTTCTTGTTATGAAACTTAATTTGATTCTACATTGAAATCTATGCTAAAAACAATTTTTGTGTTTGCCATTTTTTTAAGGTGCTGGGAACCCAAATTGCAAAGTTGCAATTGTAATGGGCAAAACCAAAAACTCATCAGCATCCAGGTAAGAATTCCTAGAAGACTCAGAATTCCCTAAAACTTGTTCCCTGGAGGAGTCACTGTTTGGAAATTTTTGTTAAGTGAAATGCCATTAATTGGCTTGACCAGTTGGATGTGCTCCTAAATTAGAGGGATGTTTTAAACCTCAGCACCTATTGCAGCCTGAGTTCCTGCTTTGCTGTCAGATGCTGTTGACTGAGTCCTCCCAACCTTTTCACTGTTACCTTTACTGTTACTGTTATCTTTTATTGGCATGCTTCCCACCTCTCTCCATTGCACCAGCAATGCACCAGTGTTTGTGCAGCTGTGTGATGAATTGGATCAGGAAATTTTGGGGGCTTCACTAGCTTTATCTTCGTCACATAAATTTTAGTCTGCATCAGTTGTTTAGTC